AAGGGAGGAGCTCCCACAAGGGAATGAGATGAAGGAGAGGAGCTTCCATAATTTGTTAATATCTACTAAAATTACAAAAGTACATAAGCTTTCCAGGCAAGTGCACTTTCAGGACTTAATCCTACAGATGCATCTGCACACATGTGAAAGGTTAGTGAAAGGCTCATCACTGCATTTTTTTGTTAGAGCAAAATGACAACCTAACAGTCCATAGACAGGCTACTGTTGAAATCAATCACATGAATCCACAGGAGAAAATGCCATTCAGCCCTAAAGAAGAATAATGAAACTATATATGCATAAATGAAAGCTCTCCAAAAAATATTGTCAATAAAAAATAACCCAAAAGAGGTTCCTATTCCCATAACAGTATAGACTGTCTCAGAATAACCCTCTCACAGATCAAGATCATGAACTCTTGGACCTAAAAGTAACAATACCCCAGTAGCGATGAGCACATCTACCAACCAGATCTTGGTTTCTAAATACCATTTTCACTGAAAGCAACCAGGGCGCCCTAGACAACGTCCGGTTCAAGGTTGGGACCGGAAGCATCAGATGATCCTGGACCATCTTGCAGCAAATGGAAGCAAGAGCTCAAAGAACAACAGAGATTTGTCAAAAGACACCAGACACACAACAATGTGAATGTACTTAACAACACTGAACTGCACAGTCTAAAATGATTAGGATGGTAAACTGCATGTTATGGAACTTTTACCACAATTAAAAATAAAAAGACACCAGAGCCAGTTTTAAGTGGCTCCTACTGGCTGAGTTTGGGACAATTTGAGCTTCAAAAGAAATAATGATAGTAAAGCACTATAGTCTTATGAGTGAAATAAGATTAAATAAAAACTTTAAAATGGAGAAACCTGGCAAGTGACCATAGCCAGCATCACCAGGAATGCGGCAAACCAACATCAATCAGCAAGCGTGGGTGGGGTCCCTGAATGGATGGCAATACTGGATTCATGTTAATTTCCTGATTGCGATGGTCTTGGTAAGATGAGGCTGGAGTGCCAATGTACTGAGGAAATATATACCGAAGGATAAAGGGTCACGGGCATGCTTTCTGCAATTTATTGTTAAACGGTTTAGAAATGTTAATGATCGGAATCTGGGTGGAGGTATATGGCTGCTCGGTGTACTATTTCTGCCAACTTTTATGTAAATTTAAAATCATTTCAATAGAAAAAGGCAAAAAATCAGTTGTTTAAAGCAAAAATAATATGTTACACATATGGAAATAAAATGTATGTCAAAATTCTGCAAACGACAGGAGGAAGCATAAATGGAATGCTACTGCCGAGAAGTTGTTCTTATGTTAGACCGGAAACGGCATGACATTAATTTACAGCAGTCTGTGACAAATCTGGGAGGCGTGTTGTAATCCCTAGAGGAGATCCTGCTAAAGAGCACTTAGCAAGAGAATGGAATACAAAAATACTCAACCCAAAAGAAGACAGAAAAGGAGGACCACAGGAAGAAAGTGCAAAGAGGAGAAATGGAAAACAAGAGCACTGTTGTCAACAGACAGAGCCATGTCAACAGTCCATTAAATGTGAAGGGCAGGGTCAAGAGGCAAAGTTGTCAGACCAGATAAAAAAAGAAGATATAACAAGTGTATAAACAATATGCTGTTTATAAAAGATACAGTTAAATACAACGCTATAGACTTGGTGAAAGACACACCATGCAAGCGTGCAGCACAAGACAGCTGGCGTGGCTATACTAATACCAGACAAAGGAAATTTCAAGACAAGGACTATTACCAGAAATAAAGATGGTCATTTCACAATGAAAAAGAGCTATTTCAACAAGACATAATGATCCTAAATCTGTATGTACTTAAGAACAGAGGTTCAAAAATACATGAAACCAAAACTAACAAAACTACAAGGAGAAACAAACAAATCCAAAACAGTAACTGGAGATTTTAACACCATCTCTCTCAATAACATAGAATTAGTAGACAAAAGTTCAGGAGGGAACAGTTTGGTGGTGTCTTATAAAGTTTAACATATGGTTACCGTGTAATTTGGCAATTCTGTTATTAGGTATTTACCCAAGAGAAATGACATGTGTCCATGCAACAGCTTGTGAACAACTGTTCATAGAAGCTTTTCATAATAATTCAAAAACTAGAAAGAACCCAAATGTCCAACAACAGGTGAATGGATAAACAAATTGTGGTATATACATACAAAAGAATACTACTCAGCAATAATTGATACACACAACATTGGATACATGGATGAATCTCAAAAACCTTATGCTGAGTAAAGGAATCTTTGCACAAAAGAATATATACTGTATGAATCCATTTGGATGAAGTTCTAGAGCAGATAAAACTAATATAGACAGAACTAATTTACAGTGGGAAAAAAAT